CAGTCGTACTCTGTGCGTTATCATCAAAGTCATCGTTAATATTAAAAAAGAGTACTTTTTAAAAAAATTATATATAATTAGAAATACCAACTTTATTCTGTGTCAACGTCACTTAAGAATAACAATATTGTACATACAAATTTGCATTACTTCTGGCTAAGATCTAATTCATAAAAGAATAACTGAAACAAATAATAAAACAAGTATATACGTAGCTTAAATGTGTATTAATGCATATGTAAGACATTGTATCAGTCGATCTCAATTGTCCCTCAAGGATTGGTCCTTATTGCTCTCATGGCCTGCTCCAGTGCTAGATTATAAAGGACTGGCGATATAGGATCTCTCTGCCTCAAGCCCTGTTTTATTTCAAAGCTGCTTGAAAAGTAATTTTGAATTTGACTTCACTTTGTGGTTCTTTGCATAATCTCTGTCAAAACAATCAATTTTTCGGGAATTCCTTGAATTCTCAAAGTTTGCGTTAATTCCTTTCTGTCTACAGAGTCATACGCCTGCTTAAAATAAATAAAGACATGGTTCAGATCCATGTTATGTTCGTACTTTTTCTCTAACATCCGTCTAACAGCAAAGATGTGGTCCACTATTGATCTGTTTTTCCTAAAACCACAATGGTAGTCTTAGCAAACTCTTTCTCCCCATGACGCTAGTCTCTTACTGATAGAAATTGACAGCACTTTATATACAGTTAGTATCAGCGCTATACCTCTGTAATTAGTGCAGTTCAACTTGTTCCCTTTTTTTAAATATAGGACAAAGAACTGTCGTGTGCCATTCTTCAGGGATAGTTTCTTGCAACCAGATCATGTATACGAGGTCATAAAGCTGTTTTATTAGTTTTTATCTGCCGTTCTTTATCAGCTCAGCTGGAATTTCATGAACACTCACATTCATACCATATTTACAATATAATAAAAAAATTAAATACATAAAAAAATTTATATAAACGATGTATATATAACAAAGATAAAAACTGTAATAAACAAAAAGAAATATAGCTTGAAGTGAAATAATAGAGAAAATTCTTAAGGGAAAAAAGAAATAAATATTAATAATAATAAATTATTATAAATATAAACAAACTTCTTATCTCATGTAATCTCTTGTTCTCCTTCCGTTACTTGTGCGTTATTCAATTGTTTTCAGTTTTGTTTATTTCTTGTTATCTTCTCTTCAAATGGATATAATTACACTTTGGGAATTGCTGTCTTCAGAAGAAGAAGCTATCAAATACTTTCAGAAGTTTGGGATAATTCCAAAGGTGAAATTCTGTGAAGGTCATGAAATGGAGTTTGACGAGAAGACGAAATGGAGATGTTCTTAACATCACAATTGTAGGAAAAGAAATGTGGTTGGAGGGGTCAAGGATTACTTTTTTAACGGCTTTATAATTTATTTATGGCTATAATCGATTTTGGAGATGTAAGAGATCATAACGGATAATAGTTGTAATGAAAGAACAAAAGGAATACGAGCGCGTCCGAGCTCACCCGGAAGAGTAGAATAGGCTTCCATAGGTAATATGAGCTTCATATAATACGGACTCCGACAATATTATGTTCATATACATATGCGGTTTTCATAAATTCTATTGTTGGTATTATTTAATATTTACATATAGAATACAGTGATATAAAAATTAAAATTTGTATATATAAGGGTATTTAAACAAATGGAAATACCCACAAATGTAAATATTTATAGCATCTATAATTTTTACTTACACTTCCTCTTTGTCTGAAAATACTTATTTCTGCTAAGAAGAGGGTGGTAAGTGAAATTCATGTGATGCGTGCACCAGATTTTTTAGATGAATATGGTGCAGAGCACCGAAAGCTCCAAAAGATAAAACTGTAAAAAGAAGGGTGTTTTTTTTTTTTAGTTCAAGTATTATTACACAGTCTACCTATTAAACGTAACATTAATTTTATATTTTAAGTATAGAACTCATCATTATTCTTCTGCTGATTTTATTCGTCATTTACGTTTTACATTAATTATTATACATTTTCTATTTTCTGGTATATACGTAATTTTCTATATTTATGTATTTTATTATTACTTTAATCAGTTACTTTCGTCAAATCCATAGTCACTATTCCTATTTTCTCTTTGCTTTAGCTAAGAAAGTACTATTGTCTTTTCATCTTGGGTCTCCCCTAAGTCTTCTTTGGAGGGACTGACTAAGATCGTCGTGGTGGGGACGGCAAAAGGAGAGCGGTTTTCTTAATTAAAATCTGGATTGAGTGATTTATTTGAGTGTGGCTTAAATCTAAATTTTTATTTGATTATTTTATTTTTAATATTATATCAAAAAATTGTTAATTGTATTTGCGTAAAAAGTATTTATATTATCAACATCCATTTGTTTGTTTATAGAATTATTTAATTTCAGTAATATAAATAGATTCGAAAATTCTTCTTTTATTAATATGTCTTTATGTTTTATTTTTATCTTTTTAAAATCAAATTCATGTTTATAATAAGTTGCATGCTGTGGAAGGCCGGTTGTTGTCGAAAAACCATAAAATGTTAAAAATCACAAAACATTGAATAACAAAAAACATAAAGGAGGATGAGATTAATAAAAATATTACAAGCTGCAGTACTATTTTAAATGTCTATGAAGGATTACAGAGTAAAGGCTGACCAGTTAATGCTACTGACAAAACTATGCCGATAAATATAATAAACTTTTTATCACTTATTAAATTTGTCGGAGTCTACTCTTGGCACGCTATTGAACTGTCACTATAAATTCTTCACTCACCCTGTTCTTCAGTGAATCTTACTGGGTATTGCATCCAATTTCTACAACTTTCTCTTGTTCTTTTATTTCCTTGTCTTCGTCTAGTTGTAGACACTCACTACTTGTTAACTAACAGTTTCTTCTCACCGATCCTCCTTCCTAGCTGGCTGGCTACCTTCTCTCTTCTACCTGGCTCCTCTTCCCCCACCATCTGTCATTCTTTGTCCATTTTTGGCAGTAGTTCGTGACGTCACTACCTTCGCACATATATTCAAAATCACTATGTAATATTTACATTACAATATATTTCTGAAGAAAATTCAATGTTCAACAACTTTCTTCCATGACTTGTTCCTCAAATGAAAAGATTAAGAGTTAATCAAATAAAGATAAAAGAACAGTCCGTTATTTTTTTTTTTCAAAACTGTTTATTATGAGGACGGATATCTTGGAAACTTTACAAGATTGCGAAAAAATTAATATAATCTATTATGGGTAACTGACAGTAATTTCATGTTTAAGGACAGTAAATCTTGCAGATTAAATAATTACGTAGCTGGTACTCGTAACTATTTTTTATGTCTGCTTATCTTAGGTTTATTGCTTTCCAGTTTTGTGTATGCTGCAGAGCAACATCTTTATTGATTTAATCTATCCATCTGGTTTTTAGCCTTTGACTTTCTTTCTCCTGGCTTGAAATCGATTGAGAACAATTTTAACTAATGAAGGCTTCTTGATTTATGAATGTAAAGTTTATTTTCATGGAATGGCAAGCTTTCCCCCCTTTTGTGTTATATGCATGTTTTATGTTTTTACTGCTCAAAATTGAATATTTTGCTACAGTAAAATAATTTCTTAATTACTTTGAAAATGTAAACATTTAACAAAATTACAAACAAAAGTTTAGTGAATTAATATTTATCTGTATAAAACACTGTAAGTACTAGTTTTCTGGGAAATTCTCAAAATGTTTACAGGTTTATTTTTTCTCTGTTTATATTTGTGAAAAAACAAGTTTCTCCATTTATTTCACTCCTCTAAATTTATGTTCATTAAAACCAAATTTTCAATGTGTTTACCCGTCGGGAATTCCAGGAAATTCAGGAATATATACAAGATTTTGTATGGTCCGGAAAAGTTGGAAATTCACAGTAAATTTTGGGTTTAGAATATTATACATTTTCTGGCAGTCAATAGAACTGTAAGCCTTTTTGAAATTGATATACAGCTGGTGAGTAACACCGTTGTACTCTAACTTTTTCTCCAATATTCTCTGTAAATAAAATATTTGATCAATAGTCAAACAGTTCCGTCTAAATCCACATTCGTAGTCTGCAATAATTTCCTTGGCGTATTCTGTGATTCAACTATTTAAGATTAAAGTGAATATTTTATAACAAACCAGAAGGTGTAAAATTCCTCGTTTATTATGGTCCGTCCTCAGACCCTTTTTGTGAATCGGAATAAGAATAGATTCTTTCCATTCTGCAGATAATTTCTCATTCTCCCAGATCTTTTTAATCAGCAAATGTACTTAAGAAACTCCAGCTTTCCCGCATCAGAAATCACGATGACAATAGAGTAACTTTTTTTTTTAAGTTTTTGATTTGAATTTAATAAATTCATTTCAATTTAATAGTTTTGCTTCTATTTAATTACCATAATTTAATATAAATGAACAAAACATATTTGAAATGAACGAATTGTCAATTAATAACTTAAATGAAAGATTGATTTACAAATTATTATTATAATCGAGCATAAACATATATTCCAGTTTGCTATCATTTTGTTTACATATTTTCCATTCTTTTCTGCTACTTGGTTTTTCATTTAATCTCTAACAGGTATAGGTGTGTGATAGTATGTTAAAAAGAATTTAAAATATTAATAACAATTTGGATTGACGATTGACATTTAGGCCTTCATTTATTTGATTTATTTCTTTGTGTTTGATTTTGTTTATGAATATTGCTTTTACTTAATTTGGTTTAAAATAAAGGCTTAATAAAATAGAATAAAATACAGGTTAAAGTATCATTCATTGTCATATCCCATCTTTGTCTTAAATGTAATTAATATTGCAGCTTTTTAATTTTTTTATGTTTGTTTTGTTTTTTTAAACATTATTTATTATTTAATTTTAGCTTATAGTTTAGTTAATTATTGTTTAATAATGGACTGTATACATTTTATTTTCTCTAAGGAACTGTATGGAAATAGTTGCAATAAAATGACGGAAACTCATGATACAGTACAAAGCTCGGATGTAAGTACTTTTTATGCTAAATTTTTTATTGCAGTCTGCTTGGTTAATTAATTGGTCTAATAAGTTATTAAAATAATCTTTTGCTGCTTTTATATATATGGTTTTTCCAAATGCTAATGAATAAATATAATTAGTTCTAAATAAATGCTCTGTGGTAGTCTAATCTAACAAAATTATTCTTAGGTGGTGATGAGGCAAAATGATTTTCTTTATCACAAAGTAATTTTTGTTGAATTTGTACTAATATTTTATTCTTAATAAAATTTGCATTATTTAATTTAGCTAATTGGATGGACCTATAATTGTCCACTTTTATCTGTTGTGTGCTTAATAAATTATGTGTTATATGTTCAATAAAGTTAAGCTTTGTATTTATTTAAATTAAATTGACAGATTTGATCAATGTTGTTTTTCTACTATCTAATACTAGTAAATTTGCATTCCTGTTAATTTAATTATATTATTCATGTTGGAAATCCTTTTTGTGTTCCTTATTTAGAAAAAAATAATTATAAGCCACATTGAAATCTCCAGTAAGCCATGTGATGACAAAAATATTGATATATTGGTGTTCAAAAACATTTAAAGTCAAACATTGATGTTAACGATAGATTAGCATAAAAAAAAAAAAAAACGATGTTTTTTATTTATTTATTGTAATAGTTGTAATTGTAATTGTAATTTAGAATCTTTTGATAACTGAAGCATTAAAATATTTTTTATAACTGAAACATTAACATATTATTCCAAAGGAAATAATAGACATGCATCGAAAGTCATCAGTGGAAGGTGGGGTTGTATTTTCTATCTGTTTTAGAACCATTAGAACACTATTACGAAAACATTTTGAAATGTTAGTTGTATATACACACATACACACTCATATATATATATATATATATATATATATATACACGTACATATACTGGTGGCCAAAACAACCAACACAACTTGAATTTTACATAAATCTCAGTTTAAAGAAATATTTTTGAGAGTGAAGTAATAACAGGTATATGACAGGTTAGAGGGGATTACAATGCATAATCCTCTCAAGCAAATCTCTAGGGAGATCTAGAATTAACGATAAAAATGTTAAAATAAAATCTAGACTTCATATCAGTTTGTCTCTAATTGGCTGTTTAATCGTATTAGTTTTGCATTTTGTGTTTTTTTTCTTGAAAAACATAATTTCATTTGTATTTAACATTTTAAGAGTGTAAAATGGTTTTGGATCCCATGGCAGTCACTCAGATTACTGTGTTAATTGAAAATGGCCGAAGTTAGCTATATGCTGCCTGAGTCCACAGACAGCCTGAAACAACGGTTTGGCGAGCAATTCAAAAATACCAGGAGACAGGAAACTATGCTAAGAGGCTGAGATCGAGCCGCCCAAGATCAACAGATCCAACCCGTTAACCTCTTCATTGCTATGCAGTCCCTCAGAAACCTATACCAGACTTCAGTTGAGATTTCTCATCGATTGTGTATTGCTGTGGGTGCGAATGTCAGCATGCACACAGTAAGAGAAGGCTTGCTGAACTCGACCAGCACGCTAAGGTTCCTGCTTGCAGCTCACTACTCTACTCACTGCAGGACACCGAGAAGCACGTTTTCAATTTTGTTGTGAATGCACTGCCTGAACAGAAGATGATTTAACCTCTGTTTTTTTTTCTGATGAGTCAAGGTATATCCTTTATCGTGCAGATGGCCGAGTTATATTGTGGAAAAGACCAAGTAACCAATTAGTTCAGTGCAATAGAGTGCAGTTCGGAGGAGGGCCAGTGGGGGTTTGCGGTGTACTGTACTACTGACTGAAGTACAGACCTCCATGTGTTCCGAAGGCCGACACTCAATGTACACACAACATCCTCGAGAAATATGTGGTACCTTTTTTCTCGTTTATTACCCTCCATATGACTTCCAAGTAGGTGAAATGGATCAGATTCGAAATCATATAACCTCCTTATTCGTACTATGCCTATGAGAATTCAGGCCGTTATTCAAGGCAAGGAAGGCAACACTAGATACTAGAGACTCATTTCATAATTAAAAAAGAATTAGATATGTTTTATTCTTGTTTGGAAGAGTATTCATTTGCTTTATTTTACATTACGATTTTTTAAAATGAATTCTCTTTGTTATTACCCTTTTTTTTACAAGCAGAATATGTCACACTATGTTGAAGTAAAAAAATTGCAAATTTTTTTTTCTGTTAAGAAATAATGACAAGATTTAAGGTGTGCCAGTATTTTTGGCCACCAATGTATATATATAATATATGTATTATGTATTATATACACACACTGGCGAGTTGTTCAGGAGAAGATTAGGAAGTACTGAAATGGATTTGAGGAGTGAGGGGGATCCGATCAAGATAGCTTTTGTCTTCTCCGTATTTAGCGTGAGCTTATTAAGATTTGCCCATGTGCATATTCTATTGTTTTCTTGTGGCAGGGTGGCATTTGAGGAATCTGCCAGGTTGAAGGAAAGGTAAATTTGGATGTCGTCGGCATATAAGTGATATTGACAGTTTTTGATACGGGAAGAGACGTCATTGATATAGATGGAAAAGAGGGTGGGGGATAAAGAGGAACTTTGTGGGACACCTCTGGTCAGGGGTAGAGACACTGATGGAGGATTATTGGGGACTAAAGCGTATTGGAAGCGACTGATGAGAAAGGATTGGAACCACTTAAGGACACTAGATGATAAGGAAATATTTTTAAGTTTAATTAGGAGGATATTGGTTTGGAGGACACTGTATGAGAAAGTCATAAGACCCATTGTCATCTATGGTTCTGAGACTTGTGTAATCTCATAGGCCTCAGAAAGGAAACTACTCGCATGGGAGAGAAGGGTTCTCCACAGGAGCTACGGTCCGGTGTGTGAGAATGACTAGTGGAGAATCCGCACCAATAAAGAGCTGCGCGAGAACTATGCATGGCCGGATTTGGCCTCAGTTGTAAGAAGTAACCAAATCAGACGGTTGGGCCATGTGGCACGTATGCCCAGGAATTCCATTCTCAAACGCCTGCTTAATGATCGACCTGGTGGAAGATGTAGCTGAGGAAGACCCCGTCTGAGATGGTAGGACGAGATGAGGATATCCTGAAAAAGAATCTGGAGATGGAGAATGCTCGCTCGAGATAGAGAAGAGTAACAATAATGGCTCTGGTTCTTGTAGGACCGTAGCGCCAAATAGTAAATTAGTAGGAGGATATTATGTTCAACTGAGTCAAATGCTTTAGAGAAATCAAGAAGGATCAGGATGGTGAGTTTCTGTTAGTCTATGGCAGTGTGGAGATCTTGGAAGATTTTAATGAGGGCGGAATGAGTAGAGTAGGTTTTGAGTTGTTTTTAGAGGATTTTAAATGCAGGTCATGATATAATATGAAATTTATTGGATTTAAAAACTAATAAGGTTGCTAGATAAAATAAATAAATAAATATGCATGATCAGCAAAGCTAAAGCTCCATCACTGAGGTTCTATTTTCCCCTTATTTTTTATTTAAAAAAAGTATTAAATAGTTTCATGGATGTTAAATAGAAAAATAAAAGCATTGTAGATTATTATTCAATGGTTTATTATTTTCAAACAATTATTTTGTTTTCTCTTTATTGCTTAATTCACAACTGTCAGTGTTCACCTAAAACCAGGGAATGTGATTACAGTAATCAAGTACTATGAAATAAAAAAAAGGACATGATAGGTATGAGGAGCAAACAGTTATAAATTCAATAATTATAGCATATCCCTCCACACACTATATATATTGGGAAAAAAAACTGTTCGTAAGATAATATAACAGAAGAGTATATATTTTTGCTCGAAAAATTTACTTATGTATCAGATATAAATTTGGTTTTCACACTGGTAATGATCCTTTTTAATATATATTAAAAAGTTTTAATTTATGGAAAAATAAATTTATTATGTTAATCTGTTTATGTTCTCAGTTTAATGAAAAAGAAACCATGGAGGATGGTCAAGCATCATCTCAGTTTAATGACGATAGCCAAGAAATTACATCGGCTGATACGGTAAATACAATTTTTAGTTTTAATGTTTGTACATAAATTAGTTGATCAATTTGTTTATTTACATTCAAATTAACAATTACTTAAGATATTATTTATAAAATTATATATGGACTTTAAAACTGATCTAGGTATTTTCAAATTTTGAATTGTAGGAAAATGACAATTTATTATGTTACATCTAATTCTTTTAGTTACAAAATATTTCAGTTTTTATATGCCTAAAGTCAAATCTCACACTCATCTTGACATAATTCCTATCAATCATAAAATAGATAATGAGGATATTCACAATATTTCTCCAATTCTTCTTCGGTCCAAAAATTGGTATAAAATTGGTTGATAATAAATAAATTTGATAATTGAGGATATTTTCCTACCAATATTTAAAAAAAATAAAATAAGCATTATCTATTTCTGTTTCCTAAATCTTTTACTATTTCACATCAACACTACTTACATCATCCTTCATAATTAATGCCTAATCGTGACCAACCTCATTAATTTTCCCTCCTTTATCTACCATCTACCAATCCATCCTAAAGGATAGAAAGAATGTTAACAGTAGAGATGTCATTAACTGTCGATATAATTCAAAAAGTTGTAGTCCACGGTACAGACCTATTTTTATCATATTATTAACACTAATATAAAACATTGCGTATGGCTTCATTTTATCGCAACCTACGACTTGTTTTCGATGAGCGTTAATTATTTAATAAAAAGGGAGTCTGTACTGCGGACTGTTGGTTATAGGTATGGTCAAACAAGAAAAAATTCAGATAGGAATAAACTTATTTTTAACTAATTTATTCCTGGGACCATAGCATATACAGTACTGAGATGTACATCCTGTATGCTATGGCCTTGGCAGAATTGGGTGAAAATTATGTAATTGACAACTAAATTTTTATTCATGAAAAATAATCATGCCTAATTGTTTATTTATTAGTTACAACTAATACTAAATAACAAATTGGGAAATAATCATTTGTTTTAGTTACTTAAAGTGACTAATAGCTAACATTCTTAATAAAACATTCAGAAATAATTAAAAATTAAAAAGTTTGATGGCTCAAATTTATCTGTACATGTCAACATACAAAAAGCTACTTGCATCTGTGCGTGCAGACATACAGAAAATAAATTAATGTATTTTACATAAATCTAATGCATAGATTCTTTATACTTTATACATTCTTTTACACTAAGTTTTCTGACTATTACTAAGTTTTAATGTTCATTAGCGTCATCTTCACTAACAGCCCAACAATGAGTTCTAGTAAATATAGCTAGTACATATCTATTCAACACCTTAGGTTGAATTGGAGAACGGGATGGCCGAGCACGTTGGGGTGTGGGTCCCAGAGAGCAGGGTTCTGCACGTTGTGGGTTCGATTCCCACCTGGGTCAGTTACTTTTCATTACTCGGCGCCCCCAGGAAATGGATCGTCACATTCCCACTCTGGCAAGTACGTGGCGGCAACTTTAAAGGTAGTCGTCAGGAGTTGGCAAAAAGAACCACTATAGGCCCACTTGCCAGACTAGTTCCCCCCACCCAGTACCACTAGGTTGAATTGGGTTTTTCTGTTTGTTTTTTTTAAACTAATTTTTTTTTTTTTTTTTTTTTTTTATTTACAACTGTATTAAAAATTAAATACGTTAGGTAAATTTGATAACAGGAAATAATAACATGAAATGACTTGTTGAGAAACTACCCACTGGTAGCACTCTTTTTTTTAAATTTCTTTATTGAGTATTATAACAATCTGTCTGTTGGACATTGGTTATAGTGAGGTAGGATGACATTCACACCATATGTACAAAAAAATAAAATAAATAGAACAAAATAATAATCAAAAGTATATACAATAGGCAATAAAATAAAATAACCTAAAAAATAAGAAAATTAAAATAAGGAAAAAAAAAAAAAAAAACACATGCATACCTATATACAATCAGGCGAGGGAACTCCAGGAGAACCCTGCGCTACTCTCCCAACCGCGTCACTGGTACTAAAGCCAGCGGAGATTGGTCGAGAGCACTTTAGCCACATACACACATGTCTTGAGTGAAGAATCTGGCCATTGCCAGAACCCCAATTTATATAATCTACAAAAGGTCGCGAGGCCACTGCCGTTTCAACCTTCTTGGAGGATTATAAGGATGGGAGATGCTTGATAGGGATTGTGCAAGAGGATTTGGGTGGTAAGTAAGGTTCTGGTGAAATTTGGAGAATTTTTCTGGGATAAGGTCTAGGACAAATGGGATGTTAAGGTCATGATGTAGGGTTTTGTTCGATACATAGAAAGGAGCATCGACTATTGTTCGAAGGACTTTAGACTGGAAGGATTGGATGCGCTTGATGTTAGAAAATTTTGCTGATCCCCACAGTTCTAGTCCGTAAGTCCAAATAGGTTTCAGTATTGTCTTGTAGATCAGTAGCTTGTTTTCAATGGAAAGTTTAGATTTTCTGCTTAGTAGTCGGTATAGTTGGCCGTATCGTCGGTTGAGTTCTTGTCTTTTGAGTCTAGTATGCGGGTTCCAAGTTAGTCTTCGTTCTAAATGAAAGCCAAGATACCGGACTGTGTAAAAATCAAGTATATCAGGATTGCGGGTAGAATCAGTGGGCCAGTAGGACTGTGTCTGAATAAGGAAGCTGGATGGAATTAAAGATTACTGGTGGACAGGAATTGCGTCGGAGTGTAAAGGTAATATGTTGGCATTTAGATTCATTAACTTTAATGCGCCAGTTATTACACCAGTGCTCAATCAAGGTGAGGTGACTTTGGAGATTTAAGGATGCTATTTCGGGATCAGAGTTGGATGATAAGATTGCGGTGTCGTCAGCGAATGTTGCAAGAAAAGTATCGGGATGAACAGGGATGTCAGCAGTAAAGAGGATGTAAAGCACGGGACCCAAGACGCTGCCTTGGGGAACACCGGCTTTAACGGAGTAGATATTGGAAAATTCTGTTCCACAGCGAACTCGAAAGGAGCGGTCAGAGAGGTAGGATCGGAGGACTAGGTACAAGGACTGAGGTAAATGGATTTTAAGCTTGGAGAGCAGTCCGGAGTGCCATACCCGGTCAAATGCCTGTGCAATGTCCAGAAAGGCACCCGAACAGTATTCCTTGTTTTCTAGGGCTGAGGAAATATGATCAACAACTCGGAGTCCTTGTTGAACAGTAGAATGTTGAGAGCGAAAACCAAACTGATGGGAAGGGATATTTTGGGATTCTATAATGGGTAGGATTCGTTTCAAAAGGATCTTTTCAAAAATTTTTGAAAGGATTGGGAGTAGGCTGATTGGTCTATAGGATGTTGAGCTATTGAGAGGTTTTCCTGGTTTTGGGAAAAGGATAATAGTGGAGTGTTTCCATAACAGAGGGAAGTGGGTGGTGCGTAGGATACAATTGTAGATATATGTAAGGAATATGACTGCTTTGGATGGAAGTTGTCGAAGGATTTGAGGTGTAAGGAGATCATGTCCAGGAGCTTTACGGAGGATTAGTTTTTTTAATTGAAATTTTACTTCGGAAGGATGAATAGCTTTTGGGGGCAAGGAAAGTGGGATTGGTGATGTAAGGAGTTCTTCTACTGTTACGGTGTGGGCAGGATGGGATTCCGGATGTGAAATAAATGTATTGGATAGGTGAATGGCGAACTCCTCAGCTTTATCTTCGTCAGATGCTGCCCAGGAGCCATCACCTCGTCGGAGAGGATGGGAAATGCGGTGAGGATTTAGGATTTTTGTTGTGGTTTTCCAAAGGGAATTGTCGCGAGAAGAGAGGGAGGATAGGTAGGAGTTGAAGGATTGTGATCTGAAGGTGGCTAATTCCAGTTTTAATTGTTTGCAGTAGTAATTATAGGAGCAGCGGTCGGTAGGATGTCGGGTACGTTGCCATAATAATCTGGCACGGCGTTTGGTGCGGATTAGGTTAAGGAGGTGTTGGGGTAGAATGGTCTTTATAGGAATTCTGGAGGAGTCTTTTGGAAGGAGGCAGTCCAGGCGGCTTGTTGGATTGTGGTAGTAAAGGAATTTACGGCACTATCAAGGTCATCGGGAGTTTTGAGGGATATGTTGAGATCAATATTATCGGAGATTATTTGGCGGAAAAGGTCCCAGTTTACTGGGCCCCTAATGAATGACGGTGGAGAAGGTTTGGGAACAGGTTCAAGTGAAACATTAAGGATTAGAGGACTATGGTCAGAGGAAAGTTCATTTAGACGTGTAATGGAACAATTGAGGGGACTTAAGCCGCTGTGGATAAAGAAATCAAGAAGATCAGGATTACGGTTGGGATCTGTGGGCCAGTAGGTAGGAGAGTTGGGGGAAAGGAGGTGAAAACGTTGGGAATTGAGTGCAGACAGCAGGGTTCGGCCACGAGAATTCGTGGTTCTGGAACCCCATTGTTGGTGCTTGGCATTTAGGTCTGCACCCAAGATGAAGTGATGTCCTAAGGAGTCGAGGAGAGAACTGAATTGGGCATTGGATATGGATCGGTTAGGAGGGCAATACGCTGATGCAAGAGTGACCGGAAAGGAGAAGGTTTTTATCACGATAGCGGTGGACTGTAGGAAATCATGTATTGGTAATGGGAGTACGTGATGGGAGAGGGATTGGTGTACAATTACAGCAGTACCGGCATGTGCTTTTCCGTCAGGGTGGTCAGTACGATATGTCAGGTATTGTGGTATATTGAAGTGCTGTTTAGTGGTTAGTCGAGTTTCAGTAATTAGTGCCACATCAATGTTCTTGTCAAGTAGTAAAGTAGATAGTTCGTCTGTATGATTTCTAACACCATTCGCATTCCAAAGGAGAATGGATATGGGTTTAGGGATGTGAGTCATTTAAGGATTTTTCAAAGGAGGGATGAGGTGAGATACGAGATTCGTGAGGAGTGATATGAGTGGAGTAACAAGGGATTTGAAATCGGTGAGGAAAGATGCTAACAAACTTGTGAGATCTGTTGCATTTGAAGGAGGAGGAATATGAGGAA